TAGCTGCCCCGAAAGGGTGAATTCTTAACCAAACGAGGGAGAGAGGCAATTATAAAAGATAAAGCTGATCATTGCGCACCTGAGGGCAGGAGACCTTAGGTCATTGCTGTGTGACCTCGGGTTAGTTACCTCCTGTCTCTGAACTTCAGGTCCCTTACCCCTAAAATACGCTCTAATATGCTGAGAGGCTGCAGGCGAGGCAGGGTCGGAAAAAGAAAAAGGAGGAGAGGAGAGAAGAAAACGGCAGGGGGAGGAAGTCCTTTCTGGAAAGGTGAAGGAAATCCGGGGGCAGTCGAGATCACTGACCTCAGAGCATGCAGCTGCCCCGCATCCATCCGTAAGCTTTGTCGCAGAAAACTCTCTGACTTGGGGAAGTGAAGGGGAAGAATAGAGGTTGTGGGAAGGGGGCAGGGGAGGGGAAGGGAAGACATATGATACAGGAGGCTATAGGAACATTAAAGCTGCATCTCATTATGACTCTCTGTTGTTTACTATTGTTCTGTATGTGTGTGTGTGTAATCTGCCAGTGACCCGGAAAGCAGCTGAAACACCCTCTATTTCCAGAATCTTCCTTCAATAACTTGTTATTTATCATTGTTCCACTGAATAATAAAGTTTTCAGTAATTATCAAGCAGATTGTACTTTTCATAGAGAAGTCCTAGAGATCAGAGGAATGGATTTGGGGATTGGAGTCAGGCCAGTAGCATTTCTTGGGTCTACTATGGACTAGGTGCTGCCCTAAGCAGCTGGACCAGATGGCCTGGGAGGCCCCCTCAGACTAGATTGATGATCCTGTGAAGTCCTCAAGCTCACCAGGAAGTCTGAAGGCTTCAGGCGTTGGTTTGTCAGAGGACTGTACCCCCTACCTCCCCTCCTCACACACACCGTTTTAGAAGGGAGAATATACTGTAATTCTAAATCCTGTAATACCATGAATATCCACTGGGTGGAAGGAGTGTCCCGCTTAGGAGATAAAAAACTGAAGTCTCCTTCAAACAAGGAGCAATTCTTAGGGTTCTGAAGGGATGGGATGAAAGTCATCAGTTCAATGAGTATCATGCTGATTGAATGACTGTTTGGAATTGGCAGAATCATAGCAACTAGTGCTTGAAAGCAATCATAGTAACAGCTAGTATTTCTATAACAAGCTTTGCAAAGCACTTTGTAAATACAAGCTCATGTGACCTTCACACCAGTCCTGGGAGGAAGGTGCTATTATGAGCCCCATCTTACAGATACAGAAATCTGATGTGAGAGGTTAAGTGACCTGCTTAGGGTCACAAAGCTATTAACTGTCTGAGATGGGATTTGAACTCAGGTCTTCATGATTCTAAGTCAGAGACTCCATTGACTGGGCCACTTTGCTACCTTGAAACTTAGACCAACTTTCTGCTGCAAATGACCAAAGTGACCCCAATTTTGCCTCACTTGGTTGCCTATGAAAATGCAATTCATCTGCTGCTTTAATATTCCCTTAGCTTTGGACAGAGCCAGGGGGGTTGGTTTCAGGCATGCCATTGAGGCTCAGGGGCTGCAAACACAGGAGCTGGAAGCACATGGCTATGACACACAGGGATGCCTCCCCTCCCCTCCCATCCTGCTTATGCCTTTGTCTGAAGGTTCCAGAGATATTTGCAGATTCTAGGGGAGATCCCTGCTAGAAACAGGGGATTCAGGAGAGGGAGAGCTACAGAATGAGGTATCAACATTTAAGGGATTAACTGGAGATACAGAAGGAAGGTTTCAAAGGCAGACCTTCACAGGTCTATCCAGGCCAGGCTTCATCCAGGGTTGCTGCCAGGATTTGGAGTGTTGGGCTTGGGAGGCCCCATGGTGGAGTGGAAGATCTGAGGTCAATCTCTAACTCTGGCTTCCATTGGGTGTGTGGCTCTCAGCACCTCACTGAGCCTCTCTCTGCCTCAGTTTCTTTATCAGTAAAATGAGAATTACATTTGCATTGTCAGCGATATTAAGGGTAATAAGAAGCCAGATCTCTTGCTTTGAACCTATGAACTACAGGGAGACTGTTAGGAAAGGAAGAAGGCAAAGCCAAGGTGTTTATAGGGCAAGCTCAGGTTTGGGATGGGAAGGCCTTGGTTTGTCAGATCCTGACCCCAGCACACACACATGTGACTCTAGAAGGATGTTACCCAACAATTGTTCCCAATGGGCAGTCTCAACATCCTTCCATGGTTCTATGTGTGTTGAGGGGTAGTAGCAAAGGGCCAGGGAACTCCTTGATATGAATCCACCATAAGTGTAGGGGAAAATTAGCATCACAGAATCTGAGAGTCATCTGGGCCTTCAGAGGTCGGCTGGTCTAACCAATGACGGCAAACTCAAAGAGAATTTGTTGTTGCTATTCAGTCATTTTCAGTCCACGTCCAACACTTTGTGGCCCCATTTGGGGTTTTCTTGCCAAAGATACTGGAGCACTTTGCCATTTCCTTCTCCAGCTCATTTTACAGATGGGGGAACTGAGGTAGACAGGGTGAAGTGACTTGCCCAAGGTCAGATTTGAACTCAGGAAGACTCTTCCTGACTCTGGGCCCTGCACTTTATCCACTGCAGTGCCACCTAGCAGCCCCTAAATAGTAATGGGAGTAATGTCCGTACTTAAGGATCACTGCAGGCCATATACTGCCTTAGTTTAAAATGAAATGTTATCTGCTTTTTTTTGTATTTTCATTTCTTTGTTAAATATCTCCTACTCTTTAATCTGCTTCCAAAGCATTCCAGAACATTGCAGCCAGGCTGCAGGCTGTGTAGTTGAGCCCTCTGGTCAAACCTACCCCTGCATGGAATCCATACTCTAACAAAGCCCACAAGGGTTGGTCACTCAGTCACTCCAAGGTGGGCCTCCTGCTTATAGATACCTGTAATGGTTGAGACGAAGATTTGGAAGACTGGACTTTGGAGGTCACAGAGTTTGGAGATGAGGGTCAGAAAAGTAAATCCAGTTCTGAGAGAAGTTTCACATTTCAGTGAACTAATTTTTCATCAGAGATATAAAAGTGATGGGGTGCTTGGGTGCTTGTGCTTGTACTTGGACCCCAGTTTCTCCCTAGTCTCAGAAACACTGTCTCTGAAACCACTCCTCAGCCCAAGGACACTGTACCTAGCAGTTACTCATGTGTGGGCCCCAGCAAGACCCTTATCTCTCTCCCTGGTGCAGCTACACAAAGCTGGGTGAGAGTGCTGGGCTACTCAGGCCCCAGCCCTCAGATCATGTCTCTGGAAGCCTCCTAATTCCTTAGTAAGTTTCTGTCTTGTGAGAAAGCTTTCCCCTGTTGCAATGAATTCTCTCATCAAGACAGAGGAAGATGGTGCCTTACCCAGCCCAAGGACTCTTCCTCCTGCCAGACTCCCAAGATCCATACTTCTGTCATCTCCCTCCCAGTCTGGTAGACTCCCTGTACTTTCTCATCCATAGCTCCCAAAGACATCTGGACCTTTAGATTACCTCATCAGTGTCCCTGGCATTCCTTTCCCATGCCCTTTTCCATATAAACCTTAGCCCCATCCTCAGTCTCCCCAAGGTTCCTTAAGAATCCTTGCCTGCTGAAAAGCATAACAATAAATCTTTGCCACCTTGACTTAAAGAATGCTTGAGTCTGTGAATTCATTCCAGATGACCCATCCTGTACTCTGGTCTTTGAGGGGTCTCAATCTCTCAGACCGCAACAAAAGAAGTATTTTTGTCCTGCTCCTTGTAAGCCACTAGGAGACAGGAAGTCTTGTGAGAAAAGACAAGTCCTCCATGTACAACCTTCCACACTGGATGACCAAGGCAAGAGGTAGTTTCTGGGCTCAGAGAGGAAGACAGTTCCACTTCCTTGAAACTCTTTCTCTGCTTCAACCCCAAGTTCTCAAAATCATGTCTGGCCATGGGATAAGATGGCTTACACCCCAGGGAAGATCCACCCACTTATCACAAATCCTCATCCTGCTTGGTTGATGAACAGAGACTCAGAGAGAGTCTAGAACCTTCTTCTGAAAAAAAAAATCCTATGTCCCAGCCACTCAGTGTGGTATGAGCAACAAATGCCCAGCATGACCTCAGGATCTCTTAATTATCACATATCAGCTAGGAGATACTAGGACCTAAATCTCTGCCTGCTTCCACCACTATGGGACTGCAATTGTGAATTGATCTAAGGAAGGCAATGTGAAACCCACAGACAGGGATTTTAGAACAAGTAAGCAAAACTTAGATAGCCTCGGATGAGGAAAAAGAAAAATTGTCTGATGCCAAGCTGAGATGGTGATTGTAAGATGTGAGAAATATAATTAAAATATTTTCTTTCTTTTTTTTTGAAAGAAACAGTAAGACAGAATAAAAGAGGGAAGGGTAAATCATTCCAAAGGGGAATGGGGGAGAGTGGGGGAGGAGGGAAGTTATAGGTGGAGAGCTATTAACTCCTGGATTGCAGGGAGGTAGAGAAGGGGGAGGAGGTTCTATTTAGAAACTAGATACTTCTTCCTTCATTAATTCCAAAGGGAAACCCTTCCCTTCCTCAGAGGGGAAAAAAAGCCCCTACTCTGGGACAGTCTAAAAAGGGAACCAGGTGGTCCCTCAGTGCAGTGGCCATCACCAACAGAGATGGAGCCCCAGGGTCCTGAAATGGGCCCTGAGCAGAGGCTACAGAAGCCTTTAGGGAGGCCCCTGCAATGAAAGAAAAGCAAGGACACACACATAAGAGGAGAGGAAAATGGAAACAAAATAGAGAGAATTTGAACTCTTTGAAAGTGGGTGCTGAGGGGCCACCTATGGGCTAGACAATCAGCAGCGTGTTTGAGCATTTGCACTTCCAGGAGGAGAAGCCCTGGAACCAGTCTCAATATACCATGTTCACAAGTTCACCTGAGCAGTACAAAGCAAAGACAAGTGTCTGCACCCTCACCATATACCAGCCCTCCCCCAGGCTCCTTCCCCCTTGGCCCCAGCCCCCACTTTCACTCACAGACTCAGCAGATCAAATAAAAGGATTCTCAGACGTCTCCAAACTTTCATTTATTTCCTTTTCGTATGGCCAGAACATCTCCACTTTGTCATCCTGTCCCCCAAAATCCCTCACTCAAATGTGGATTGTGGAGAAAAGCTGAAGACTCAAGAATAACAATTCATTAGGCCGTTTGTGCATTCAGAAAAAGCTCCCAGAGGTCAGTGCAATGTCCAATGTGAAGGAGGGCTCATTGCTAAAGCCTTCTGGTCCTCACTGCTGGTTGTCTCCCTGAAGAGTGACACAGGCAGAAAGAAAAGATGGAGGAGGGAGGTCTTAGAGCAGGGTGAGGGCCTTAATGATGCTTCCCTGGGCTTAAGCCAGTAGAGTCCAGGGAGGATCCCAGGGGCCAGTGCTGGAGAGAGAAGCCAGGGGTCCACAGGAACAACACAGGGACTGGAGACTGGTTTTCCTCCTCAGGTCCACACCAGGCAATTCTCTCAAACTGAAGAAGGAAAGACAGATTCAGGGAGATCCTCCAAATCCCCTCTGCCTCCAGCCTCGAATCACTCTTTAGAGCATGCCTCACCACTCATCCAACACTCAGCCCAACCTCTCACCCACCCTCCTCTTTGCTTGGTCCCCTTCATCCCAGCTCCTCTCTCCTTCCAGGCCCCCAGAGTCTCCCCTTTGGCTATGATTAAACCCTGTGCAATGCCTGGAAACAAAGGAGGGAAATGACCCAGTCAGGGACATACATTCCAGAACCAAGGTATGGAAGGGAAGGGGACACCAGGGGAAGGTTCCTGAGCTAAGCCTCTCCTCTGCCTTCGCTTTGCTCAGGTCCCTAATACCATAGGCTGGGCTCTTCCTTCTACCCTCCATGTTTACCCTTCACTTACCTGGAGGCTGAATACGGTGCCCTCTATTTCCACCTGGAAAAGAAAATAAATTTCCAGTGAGGAATCCAGGACAGGAGACCACACAAAGGTCTCAGAAGTTCACTGGTTTGTCTTGGAGACACAACAAATTACAACTGGGACTGCACCCCCATCCCCCACTGCAGTTAGCCTCTGGATCCAACAGGAAGAAAAAATAGGCCCCCCAAATGGGCACTTCCCCACCTCCAGGCCTGCCTCCAGGGCTTCCCAAGGCTGGTCTACAGCCCTTAGCTGGGGGACAACCAGGCCCTCTGGCAGAGATCCTCATACTCATTTCTGATCTGAGTCTGAAGCAGATTCCCCACTAGGTCAGCCTGTTATACCCCTGCCAGGCATCCTCCAGATAAATGGTTTCTAGTTGGGGATTTGTTCATCTGGAGTCTTGGGGCCCATCTGAGAGTCCCTTAGATGGGAAAGAGAGGACTTGGGGACAGAAAGACAAGCTGAGGGTCAGGGGAAGCCAGGATCTCCACGGAGCCTGCTCCCTAAGGACCCCCTCCTAGTCCTGCCCACCTGAAGTCTCCCTCCAGATCACAAATCCAGCGATGACTCCAATGGTGAGGACAGCAATGCCCCCCACAATGTACCAGGTGGAGGACGACTGTGGCTCTGAAATGGAAAAGGGCAGTGAGAGGCCTGATCCCTCTGGGGCCTCAGAGTCACCAACCCCTCCTCCACCTCCCCCCAGTCACCCCACCTCCCTCTGGTCTTTTGGGGGTGTGGGGGGTCCTTACCCCACTTCAGGGTGAGGGGCTCAGGCAGTCCCTCATGCTGAACTCGGCAGGCATATTTCCCTTCCTGGCCCGAGGTCACGCCCACAGATGCCCACTTCTGGAAGGTCCCATCTCCCGCAGGCCTGGTCTCAATGAACTCTGTGTCCTGGAGTTGTTCCTCCCCATCCCTCAGCCAAGTCAGGGAGATGTCGGCAGGGTAGAAGTCCTGGGCCCGGCACCGCAGGATCACTTCCCCATTGGGGGCAGTGTGGTGGGTCACTTGGACAGAAGGCGGGTCTGGAGGCAAAGGTCATTGGCATTTCCAGGCTCTCCCTTTCCCCCCTCCAATCCAGGGGAATGAGGACTGATGGGGAGAGGTGGAACAACCCTGAACGCAGGCCCTGAGGTATGAGGGGTCCCTGAGGGGGTCTGGAGCTCGGGGCTGAGGCTGCAGGGGAGGTAGAGAAGGGGACCTTGAGTGCTATACACACTCGGGCGGGCCGGGCTGTACCTGTCCTCTTCAAAGACTCCTTCCCGATTTCTAGGTACTTTTTCACCCACTGCACGCACGTTTCTTCTAGATACGCTTTTCTCTCCTTCGAGATGCTGCTGTCCGCCTCCAACTCAAGCTTGGAGTTCAGAGCCTGGGGCACTGACGCAGTCCACGTGTAGGTCTCCGTGTCCAGGGCCAGGTAGTCGTGCCCGTCATAAGCGAATTGGTAAAACCCGCGCTTAAAGGTGAGTTCTGGGGAGACCTCGCAGCCGCACAGGTGCTGAAAGGTGTGGACCCCTGCCCCGCCCCCAGCCACGGGTCAGCCCGGCCAGTCTTTCCCCACCTGGCGCTGATTCTGTAACCTGCCCCCCACCCGGGATGGCCCTCGGTAGCCGCCCCCCCCCCGACCCCCGTGTCCCTAGTGAGAGCCGCAGGTCACAATGGGAGTGGTAGGACCCCGCATCTCCTCCCCCCATGTCACGCACCGCCCTCGCTCTGGTTGTAGGAGCTTCGCAGGGTCTGAAGTCGAATTCGGAAACTCTGGGCCGCCGCTTTGTGGAATCGCGTGTTCCGGTCCCAGTAGTCTGGGTCCACTTGGTCTACTTGATCCATCCATGGCGCCCGCGGCTCCTCCCTCTGGCTCTCGCTGTCGCTATCGAAGCGCGCAAACTGCAAATCGTCCACGTAGCCCACTGCGAAGAAGCGTGGTTCTGCGAGTTCGGGCCAAGACACGGCGGCGGAGAAATACTTCAGGGAGTGAGAGCCTGAGACATGGGGACCGGGCCTGGAATTAAGGTGTGCACGCGACCCTGGTGGCCCAGTGTCTTCGACCAAGCCCGGGGTGCCACCCAGGCTGCGAACTCAGCCACCCAGAGATGCCTCCCCACCCCCAGTATCCCAGCCCCCCTGACGCTGCTGGTACACCTGGCCAGCAGTAGAAATACTCGTGACTACAGTGCTTTGAGATCAGCCAAAAGCTTTCACTAACAACCCAGGCAGGTCCTAGGGTGCCCCCTCACCTGGGCCTTGCCCCCCACACACACACCTCTGGCCCGGATCTCTCACACTCCTCAGTCTCAACCCCCACCTTGTGTCCCTGCCTGGCCCCGCCTCACCCCACCCTCCCCCTCTGTGAAGCTTTTTAACAAGGCTGCTCCTGGTTCTCTATCCTCGCCCTTGGATGCCAGGCGGCTCCCAGACAGCTCTGCTCCTTCTTAATGCCCCCAGGATTGTAGCTACCATTCTCCCTCCTGGTACCTCTGCCTCAACACCCCATGTTCTCACATCCACCCTACCAATCCACTCACCTCACCCCCAAAAAAACCCCAAGGGATTGACACCAAGACACCCCTCTCCCCCGCCGCCTCCTGCCAAAGCCCAGCTAAAGGATGTCAAACTACATGCTTATTGATGGCTTCTTCCTTTCAGCACCACCCTGACTTCACCTGAGATGAAGGAGCTGGTTCCCCAGAAACCCACCCTGGGCTGGTGCCGAGGAGCCTTCTGTAGCCAACCTCCATCCCACCTACACATCCACCCCAGATGCTTTGTCCAGTCTCCAGGCAGCCGCTTAATACTATTCTTTACTTACCTGCCCAGGTTTCTGGCAAGGCCAGGGTCGCTAACAAAAAGAGAGAGCTCACATAACGGTTCATGGTCCACAGACAGAGAAGCACTGTGTTTAGAGAAGGACGAATATCTAACTTCTGGTTGGCTTCACAGAAGCTCTGCCAGCCAATAGAAAACGTAAGACAATAAACGTCATTGGTGACTGGGCAGAATGAGCACTCACAGATTAGGAGACCAAAACTGAAACTGACTAGGAGGAAATTCCCAGCTTTATAGATCTTTTCCCTTTCTGTGTCATTCCCAGAACAGCCTCTGACTCTATAGAGAGCCCGAGTCTCCCTCCCTCCCATCAACACCCCAGGAGCGCACGGCTCTTGTGCTCCCAGCTGGAACCAGAGAAAAAGAAGGTCCCAGCCGTCACACCACTCCCCTCCGCTCCCGCTGGTCTTCCAATCCCCCAGCCCTCCTCAGTATGATGAGTGTAGCGTGGGTGGGTCCCGACTGTGCGTTAGTTTCTAGGGGAAGAGGCTCCCATGCCATTTCACTTTTGATGTACTTGGGAATGTTGGGACCACTGGGAGGGGAAGTAGGGATAAGAGCGTAGGAAAACTATGTCTGAGGAGGAATCCTGCATGGGCAGGGGAGAACTGGTTGCGAAGTAATTGTGTCCTGGGTAAGGTGCATCTTACAACGGAGTGGGGGAGGAGGATCTGTCTGAGAAGCATCAGTGTGCTAGAAACGAATGAACGGAGGAAGGCGTGTATTTCATTTCTTGCAAGAAGCAGGTGTGCTGCTCCCAAACAGCACACACACCAATACAGCAGCAAGACCAAGTTCTTATACCTTGAGGTGTCAGATAAGCTAATTGAGCATGCGCAGATGCAAGAAGAGCTGTTAGTTATTTGTCAATATTAGTGGTTAAAGAGCATCTGCTAATCAGAACATACCACAGGCCTCCTGTTTTTACATTAACTTCTGTGAAATTTTCAGTTTTCACGGACATCTTTTCATAATCCCTCCCCTTCTTCTTAGTAACGATTTTGTTTCCACACTCCTTCCTTCCTTACTTTCAAATCTTTTTAGCGTTAACTCACATTCATCCTCACTGCTGGTACAATCTTTAGATTTTATAATCATCATTTTAACATTTCCACTCCCGCTAAAATGTATCTCTCCCATGTTTGGTACATCACTCACGATTAATTGCATAAAACAGAGTATGCATAGGGGCAACAGGATTAAACTACATAAAGCTGTTAACTGAAATGCCACTACTTGTTTCCACCATGGGCCTGTAAACCAATTGAACCAAGAGGAAATATTGAGCACACTGTCCCATTTTTTGGTACTGGAAATGAGCCGATTTCCTAATATTATTGGTAATCTCCTTTATAGCCTGCCCATTATCATCTATTTTAGGTCAGTCCTCCTCCTGTGTCATTATATCACCCCCAAAAGACTTTTCCACTTCTATTTCCCCAATAGAATTAGTTCTTTTATAATGTATCATAACACTCCATTTTTCAGTGGTCCCACTCCCCGAAAATGAGCAATACATGATGTGTCTAAATTCTTGGTTGTTAGCACTTAGTCCGTCATTAATTTTTCTCTCTTCTCGGTACCAGTCTAAAGGGATCTCAGTGATCTTTCACAGTCCATTCCTTGGGTTCTTCTAAAGGCTCTTTAACTCTGGTATAATATGTCCAACCTTTTTCTGCTGTTCTTACTACAATCAGAAGTACTTGAAAAGGTCCCTCCCAATCTGGTTGAAGCTTGACCTCCTTCCAGGATTTCATCAACACCCAATCTCCAGGCTGGAACCTGTGTACCCTGAACTCCAAAGGAGGTGTCTGGGCTATGAGTCCCCATCTCCTCAGGTCTGAAAGGGATGATGACACTTCCAGTATATAGTTTTCATCAGGCAAGTGCCAAAATCCTTCAGGGGACTTTATAGCCCCTAATTTTTCAAAGCCCTCTTCTTTTGAAAACACTGGGGGAGCTTTAACCTCAGGGATGGAAGGGATCAAAATAAACATTCTACTTGAATTTTCTTTATAAGCAGCTTCTCTGGCTGCCTCCTCAGCCAACCAGTTTCCTGAAATCTCAGGAGATATTTCTCTTCTGATGCCCCCTAACATGCACTACTGCAATTTCCTCAGGGAGTAGTAAGCTATTTAAAACCTGCTTTACTAGTTCCCATGTACTAATTGCATCCCTTTACTATTAATTAACCACCTTTCATTCCAAATCTTCCCCAAAGTGTGTACTACCTTATAAGCATATTTGGAGTCTGTGTAAGTAGTTCCTTCTGCCCCTTTTAGCAATTTCATATAATTTGCAAGTTTGTGCTGACCAATTCTTTGCTAGTGAGTCTGCTTCTACCAACTGCTGACTTTCCCCATCCACAATAGCATACCCATTCCATCTTTTTCCTTCTAGCACCTGGGAAGGACCATCAATAAATAGTTTTCTTCCCTTTGAGAAAGGAACATCTTTTAAATCTGATTTTACTTTAGTCTGATATTCCATTATACCTAAACAGTCATGTTCTATTTCAGATTTTCCTGCACCCCCTTTTTGTAGGAACATTGCTGGGTTTATACTATTATCAGTGGTTAATATCAAAATCATCTTTTCCCACTAATATTGCTTCATATTTCCAAATTCTTGAATCTGTTAACCACCTTCCAGCTCTTTGACTCAAAAAAGTTCTGACTTGGTAGGGAGTGTTTACTACCGATGCTCCCCCAAAAGTTAATTTCCTGCTTTCCTCTACCAACAGATCTGTAGTAACCACTGCCTGCACACATTTCGGCCATCCCCTTGACACCAGATCCAATAGCTTAGATAGAAATGCTACAGGCTGTTTTTGTCCTGCCCATAAATGTGCTGACACCAAGTGCTGCTAAAGTAGGTAATGCCAACACAGATGCTTGAATTAGGGCTTGTTTTAATTCAGTGACTAATTTCCTGTCTTCATTATTCCACTGTAAGGGATCAGGTTCTTCTTCCAACCTTCTTATATGAAGGTTTGGTCACCTGAGCATAGGAATCTATCTATACTTCACAATATCCAATTAGACCCCAAAATTTTCTTAACTCCCTTTTAGTCCTGGGCAAGGGTAGCTCTACAATCCCTTTAACCCTGAAAGGATTGATTTTCCTCTTCCCCTCACTAATCTCACTTCTTGTTCCACAAACTGCAGTTTCTTCTGGGATACATGTAATCCTTGTTCTCCTAAAATTTAATACTTTAATAGTTGCCTATGTAACCTCCTGTTTCTTTTTCCCTGACAACAATGTCATCCCCATATTGTAACAAAGTAACAGGACTCGGGAACTTCAAATGGTTCTAATATCCAGCACCTGCCCAAATAGATTAGGGCAGGCAGGGAAACCTTGAGGCAATACAGTCCACCTATATTGTTGTTTCCTCTCAGTGCCAGAATGTTCCCATGTACTTTCAGTTCTAGTCCCAATTTTTATTATTAAATCTCTCCCTAGTTTTTGTATATCCCAGAGGCTGAGAGTAATCCCACTATTTATTTTCTATTCCCTTCAATAGACAGGAGTACCTTCTAGCATGGGTACCTGAAAGTCTTCCCCCTTTGGAAGGGAAACCACTTACTCCTCTTTCTTCAATTCTGGGCATTCTCTCCTGAAATGTCCAGTCTTATCACAATGAAAACATGTTACTTGCCCATTCCATCTAGAATTGTTTTTCCCTGAACAAGGCCTCCCATTTCCTCTGCCTCTACCTACCTTTCCCTTGATAACTTCCCCTATAATCTCCAATCTGACTCCTCCTGACTGAAAGGATCTTTGTTGTTCACAAACATCCTTATCCTGGGTCAACCTACTGTCTTCCCAATTAACCAGCATCCTCCCTAATGGGCTATCTGGAGGAATGCTCAGAGGATCCCTTCTGTCCTTCCCAGGCACCTCTTTCTTAGACCTCTTATTTCCCATTCCAGGCAAACCTAACTTCTCAACCTAGCATTCCAGACTAATGAGTCAGTACTTAGATCCTGACTTTTTCTACCTAGCTTGAAGCACCAACTTGCATAGTCTTGGCAGTTCTTAATTGCACTTTGTCCTCCAGCTCATCCACACACTCTCCTGTCTAAATCAGGATCTCAGGTTTCAGCCTGGAAATTGGGACTGCTCTAACTGGAGCAGGAGCACTCTTCCCTCAAACCTGCTTACTTACCCTTCCTGGTGCTCTTCAAATCTCGGTGCAGCCCCCATTTTATAGAAATAAGCAAAGTACTTGACTCAATTACATTTCTTGCAAGAAGTAGATAAGGTGCTCCCAAAGAGCCCACACACAGATACAGAAGCAAGAGCAAGTTCTTATACCTTAACGTGTGTTGCATAAGCTAATTGAGCATGCACAGATGCAAGGACAGCTGTTAGTTATCTGTCAATACTTGTAGTTACCAGGTTGTTGCAAGGATCTAATAAGATATTTGCAGAGCATTTAGCACAGTGATGGGCACATAGTAGGTGCTATATAAAAGCTTAGTTCATTCATCCCACAATCGGTACTCTCTACAACCCTCTACCAAAGTTTCTCCCTGGTACTGTCTCACCTGCTTTGAGATCACTTCTGCTTGGGAGCCCAATTCCTGTCCAGACCAGGTATATTCTTTGCCATCTTTCTTCCAAACAACAGGAGAGGCACCTACTCCTTCCCAAAGATCCCAGCTCCCTGAAGTTAAGCCAAGAAAAAAATCAGTTATATCTCTTCCCCGCCCCCCCCCATTTCCTCCTGCCATTAGACTCCTCTGGATATTTTGCTTCCCATGTTCACCACTCAGGGGCCCTAGCTGGTATTGGCAAAACAACTAAAATTCTGAATTTTAAAAGGATGACCCTTTGGTTACCAGTTCTTAAACTCTGCTATTGGTTCTTCATGGCAAAGTTCAGGGCTAGGGGAGCAAGATCTCATTGGAAAGATGCATTTTTAGCTAAGAAAAGGCTGGAAAGGTTCTATCTTTTAGGGCAGGGGAAATGACTTGATAAAAAGTAGCCCTTTGCAAATTTATATTTTTAAAGTACAGTTGTTTATTAAAAATAGAATTTCATGAAGTTTTTGTTTCTTTAGTTTGTTTGGTACAGTGGATATAG